AAGGTTTGCAAAATGTAAGGAAAAACTCCTAAACATATCAGACTCAACTATCTTATTTCAAATCGACTATAAAGTTATTAAAACATCAGCGAACATTCACCACAATCAAAAGCTAGTCAAAACTCGTCGAACTGGACCGCAAAACCAATTGTTGTCGACCCTCAGACCACTATCGCCCCTCGGCCGCCATTGCACGTGTGCCAGATCACCACCTACGCTACCATACTCGTGCCTCCTGCACCACGGCGCTGCTGCGGCTCCCTCTGCGTGCGCTCGAGTTTTCAACTTTTTTGATTTTTTTACTTTTACCCAAATTTTTTGAGTTTTGCGGTTTTTCTTGATTTTTCACCCTATTGACAAGATCCAAACTCGATTCTCCTATTTGAGTCCTAACTGCCCAACACACACCGATAAACATAACCTTGAATCAATATGACTCAAATAGATTCAACATGTTATCAATTCAACTCTCGCTTTATCACAAGGCATCAACAAACTATCTCATCAATTCAAAAGCTACAATAAACAAAATATAAAATCAAATCAAATTATATTAATCACCTTAAAAAAGTTTTGCTCAAACCTTCATCAACCTCAAATATTATCAAAGAGGAAAAAGAAAAAGAAAAAGGAAGGAGGGTAAGAAATCTTCGTTATCCATCTGCTTAAACATCCATACATGAATAATTTCCCTTTACCTCGAATTTGCAGCGATGATGAATCTTTGCCTATGGGATTTTCTCTCCACTCCTTCCAAAAGTTTCTTCTAGGTTTTCTCTCTTCTGCCTCTTTTCCACCCAAAATATGTATGACTCGATTCCCTTCCAACTCCTCTATTTAAAACAAATGTCTAATTTTATTTTATTAATTATCTTTAATCCACTTATCTCTTACCATTCCTACCTACATCCTCAATTTTCATTATATTTATATTTTCCTCCCCAAAATCAATTATCTCACATTTTTCTATTAATTCTATTATTTAAAATAATTAAAAATAATAATAATTCTACAAAAACTCTACCCATCCTTGAATTACCACTAAATAATTAAACACTCTAATAAATAATATAAAACAATTTAAATTCAATTAAAATTAAAATAAACAAAAATCGGGGTGTTACTGTCCTAGCTACCCACCAGTACTTACCCGACTGTCAACATGGAAAGTTTTGTATCTTTACCTAGCAGTTGCTGAAAAGGCGGTGAGTGATGTCCTCATAAGAGAACTAATAATAATAATGATAGTGACAACTAATAATTGTCTTGCTCTTAATCTCTGAGAGTTGGCCTAGTGTAGAGGCTTGAGTCTTGAGAGTGTGCTCTATTCAAAACTTTGCTCTAGATTTAAACGGGACCCTCGCTAATAGACAGTAAAATTAGTCTTCTTAAATTAATCCGTTGTAAGGCCAGATACCGAGATTTCAAAAAATATTTATCCTGCTCTTTGTTTGTTCATTTCTTTAATACATTTATTTCTCTACAAATTTCTACTTTATTGAATCTATATCTTTTAAATTAATAATTATTTTTTATTTGTATGATTTATGTGCTTGAATGTGTTTTCTCGCCTTTTAATTTTCTATTTATTTAAACCTTTATTTCCTCACTTAATTACATGTTGTAGTATTTCACACAATTGAAACTATTCATGTATGTGAAAATGAAATAGAAGCGGTGTGATGCTGAAATAGTATAGATTCATTAATCCCTTGGAATTTCATCTCCAATTACCTTTATATACGTGGCAAGAAGAGGTGGCAGAGGATTGCATGCGCATGAAAAGAGAGAGAACAAGGATACAAAGGTAGGTCCCAAAGACATGTGAGAGGGCGACCCATGCATTTAATAAACAAAAACAACAAAAATTGCCAGCAAAAACATCCACCAAAATTCAATTATCACATCACATGTTATGTCAGTCCACCCATCTCAACAACGTACATTCCGTACTCTGTCCTCTGCCCTACAAGTCTTTAGTTTTTTTCTTCTTCTTTCTCTTTTTAGAAATCAAAGACTTTACCATTGTTTAATCAGTTAGCTACTTTCCTAGTATTTTATATGCTTTTCAGAAATTAAAGACATTTTCTTTTTAATTAATATTGATGGCTAATACTACTCGTTTTGTCTCGTCTTTTGTTATATATTTTTATATCTTAAAATATTTGTCCTATTACAATATTAATATAATATTTATTATTATTTTTTACTATTATATTTTACTTATTAATTTTTATTTTATTAACTAACATAATTAATAAAAATATTTTAATAAATAATATTAATTTTATATTAAAATTAACACATTTAATCACTTTTAAAGAGAGAATATTATTTAATTAAATATGTTAGAGAAAGTGATAAACACAATTTCTTAGCCACCACATAAATTATAAATTATCATGATAATCAATGACAATCAAATTATTTATTTCTAAAATGATTATGATTTAAGATTTTTATATATAGATTAAAGAATATAATAATATTATCATAACACATTGTATTTTTATTAAATTATTCGTACAAAAACATTTAAAATAATGTATATCTTAATAATTAAGAGGACAAATTGAAAAATTACAATTATTTCTATATTAAAAAATAAAAATAATATTTATTTTAAAATAAATTTTATTTATTAAAATAATTAAAACGGAAGGAGTAACAATTTCTATTTTACAATAATGTCTCCAAATATTTTACTAAAAATAGTATTTATATTATATATCAATTATTTTAAATGTTATATATTTGTCTTTTCAAAGAATATATATGATGTTTATATTTGTTATAAGTCACAGTATATTTTTATATTGATGAATTATATATTTTATTAACAATTTGATTAATGTTTTCAATGATGATCCCTAAGAATGAAGAGAATAAACCATTCAAACTGAAAATGGAAAAAATAGAGATATTTTAGGTGACAGAAACACATAGAGTGGAAAAATATTTCTTTCTTTCGTCCGGTTTTTAAAAAATTATATTGGTTCAATCTAATATTTTTCAATTTTTGTATAGCTAATAATAATGAAATAATGGATTAAATTATTTTATTAATAGTTTTTCGAATGCAAGATAATATATTTTCTTATTTCAATGTTAGATAATAAGGCATGTTGTTGTTTTTCTATTGGTTGTATTACGCAAAATAAAATGGAGTGAAATTTATTTTTTTAGATTAGAAGCCTCAAATTTAGGTGTTGTTAGACTAAATTGGATTAATAATTTTTTATTTGTTTCATAATTTATCATTCTGTTTTTTATTATCTATCAATTTTTTTATATGATGTTGAGTATATTTGCTTAAATATTTTATCCAATATTTATTCCCTTAAAAATAAAATTTCCCTCATAAACTCCTCTTATGTAAATATAATATTGGTAAGAAAAACAAATGCATAAAGAAAAAATAAGCATGGTAACAACACAAAAATTTAATATAGAAATTTTAAAGCTAGAGAAAAAATTATGATCGTTGTCAAATGACAATTAGAGAATAATATTTTGTAAAAATTATTATAATATATAGACTACTCTCATCCACCCCAAAACTCTAATACATTTGCATTCTCCAAAACAAATATTTAATTATCCTTCAGGCCAATCTAACACAAGAATATAAGATAAAATATAAAAATTCAAATACAAGTATAAAATACTTTTGACTAATACAACTTGTAACAAAGAACTTGAATCCTTTATATAGTATTGGATGTTAAGTATAACAAGTGTGAGTAGTGTGGATAATAGTCTCACATTGGATAGGAATGTGGAGACTTGAACATTTATAAGTGGGAGAATCCACACACCTATCACCTTAAGGTTTTGGGTGAGTATGTGGTGTGTCTCTCACAAAGGTGTTGCTCTAGAAAAAGTAGTCCCACAATGTTCAATGCTCTATAGTGAAAATCTTCCCTAAGAGTTGTATCATGAGTCTTTGTTTCAAGTGAATGACCGACTCACTTGTATCGAAAGTACTCCACACAGGTGGTGATTAGGAGGTATCCTGTTGAAGAGTGTCAACTTGATTAGGAGGTATCTTGTTGAAGAGTGTCAACTGCGGTACAAGGGTGGTGAGCAAGAAACACACAACTGAAAGTACAGTTGCACTGTTGTAGCTTCCGCTTAAGGGTGGTGAGCAAGAAACACACAACTGAAAGTACAGTTGCACTGTTGTAGCTTCCGCTTAAGGGGGAGCATTGTGGAAGCATTGTAGATAGACTCACAGTTGAAGAGGAGTGTTAAGTATGACAAGTGTGAGTAGTGTGGATAATAGTCCCACATTGGATAGAAATGTGGAGACTTGAGCATTTATAAGTGGGAGAATCCACACACCTATCACCTTAAGGTTTTTGGTGAGTATGTGGTGTGTCTCTCATAAAGGTGTTGCTCTAGAAAAAGTAGTTTCACAATGTTCAATACTCCCTAGTGAAAATCTTCCCTAACATTGGACACCCTTTTACTTTACAAAACTAAGTGATGTGAGATTTATTTTCAATCAACCCCAACAGTCTCCATATTGATTGAAAGTAATACATTAACTTTCATTGTCTTCACCGAAATCATACTCTACCATAAAGAGTATATTTATTTGAAATTACACCACTTCAAGAATCTTCACAGTGTCTTCATTGACAATCATAGTTCAAAAATTATCATACTCTACTTAAAGAAGAGTATACTTCACTTGAAGATAATCAACTTCAATAATCTCCACATGTCTAAAACCAAATTAAAAACTGATTGCGCAACTTCCATGTTAATAAGAAACTCTTCAACCAATGACATAATCTCACGACACACAACTTGCATCAATGTTTATGTGTTAATTTGCTAGCAATAACTCGTCCTTTTTCATGATAGTGGAAATGTCACGAGGACACTCTTCACATGTTTTTAGAGAAGATCATCTTCTCCTACGGCGAGGGAGACATTGCTAGTATTTGACTCAAAGTCCTTCTCTGACACTGCCTCATCATGACACTTGTACTTTATATGTCCAATTTTCCACATTTCCAATATCCCACACCCGGCTCATTATTTTTCTTCACATAAGGCCTTCCTCTAGCAACCAACACTGAGTTTGATGAAGTATTATCCTTACCTTTCAATCTTCGTTCTTCAAAAATAATTTTACTAGCAACTTCTTCAAAATTCAAAATTTCCTTTCCATATATCAAAGCAGGCTTAATATGCTCATACAAATATGGAAAATGCCATATGAGTCTCAAAGCTTTATCTTCTTCATCAATCTCGACTATAATAATTTTTAATTCATAAACAATGTCATTGAGAATATTTAGATGATATTGTAATTTCGTATGCTCATCCATATACAAGTTATGAAACTTATCTTTCAACGACAACTGATTTGATATACCCTTTCATTGATATAGTCCTCAAAGTTTCTTTAAAAGCTCTTTGGCTGAAGACGTACGAAGAACATTTGCAAGAATATTTTTATCCAAAGACAATTAGATGTGATCGAAGCTCTCAAATTTAATTTCTCCCACTTCTCATGGTCCATGTTGAAAATATTTCATTTTTCAATACCCTATCTAACTCTAATTGTATCAAAACATCTTTGACTTGAATTTTCTACAAGCCAACATTGTTTCTTCCATTAAATTTCTCTAAGTTAATCTTCAACGCACTTGAAAAACTTGACATTGTAGCCAAACCTTTCCTACAACGAATTTCCCCCAACCAACATCAAGTATAATATTTCTTTTCTGACGTGGAAGATCAGACAAAACTGCAATCATAGAGCACACTAAAAAATTTATACCCCACTATAGACCAAAGCCTTGATACCAATTGTTAGAAAAACAAGTGCATAAAAAAAAAAGAAACACAATAACAACACAAAAATTTAAGGTGGAAACTCCAAAACTGGAGAAAAACCACAATTATTGTCAAACGACAACATATATTATGTGAAAAATGTCACAACATATAGACTACCCTCAACCACTCAAAGACCCCATTACACTGCACTGTCCAAAGTAAATATTTAACTACCCCTCCAACATTCTAACACAAGAGTATAAGAGAAAATATAAAAAGTCAAATACAAGTTTAAAGTGTTTTTGACTAGTACATCTTGTAACGAAGAATTTAAATCCTTTATATAGCTAGCCTTGGACTCCATCTTCCTTAACAAAACTAAGCGATATGAGACTTCTTCAACGTGTATATTTTCAACCAACCCCAACAACTACTCTATAAGTCTAAAATTATAAATTAGTATTTAATGTTAAAAGGTATTTTTCTATTATAATCTTCTTTTTTTTTAATTTTTTAATTTTTATTTATCTTTCAATCATATCATAAATAAAACATACTTTTATAAAATAATCTATCATTTCTTTTTTATAAAATAATTACATTTTTTTAATTTATGTAATATTGTTAAAATGGTATATAATTTTAAAAAAGAGAATATTTGTGTAGTTTTATATTACCACATCATTAATTACATTTTTGTCTAATTGTTTAATAATTAAAATTTACTTTTTAAAAGTGAATAAATAAAATGTCTCATATGTTAGAGATATAAAAAAAATAGGTATTACTGAGAATTAATTATTACTCAATTAATAACTATAAATACACCAAGAATAATCCATTGTAATAATTTTTTTATATTTATATTGTAATACTTTTTACTTTCATCAATATAAGAGTTTTACAATTTTTTCTCTTTTCTCTTTTTTCATAGAATTCAAGTTTCTTAACATAGTAGCGTTTAAGATTTGGTAGGTCACTTGCTATCAAGTTTTTGCTATTAGATAATATATGATTTGAACATGTCTTCATAAATGGCAGTAATTCTCACCCTATAAATCAATTTTGTAGGGATGGGTTATGCCTAAACTATAATTCTTAACATGGTATAGAGCATTTCTGGTATCCACCTTGAAGAAAAATTCCTGCTGCATTTCTTGAGAAAATCGATTTTTCTCACTTTACTTCACATTTTCATTTCGATTCAATTTTTCTATTTGCAAATGTTTGTTTCGATTTGATTATAACGTTTCTTTACATTCACCATTAAAGAATCTGGTTGCAGAATTAAAGTTTCATTTCATCGACTTTCATTATTGCTATAAATCACCATCATTTTGTCTCGATTATTGTCTTTCAGTTTCTATGTCGTTGTTGTTACTTGACTTGTTGTCTTCTGAATCGTTGGACTTCATTTGAAAATTGTAAATTACTTCTGTTATTACTTGAAAATTTTCAAGGTTCTTGAAGTGTCCATGTGATGTTTTACTTGATCACTTGAAATTAGCCAACTTTAGATATAAATTTAGTAGATGGTTCTGCATATATTTGAGAATTATAATTTGGTTTCGAGTTTTTCAAGTGAACTCAAGCATTTACGCCTTTATTTGCTATCCATTTTTGTCTAAAGGTTCAAGGACGATAGCAATTTGATTGCTTTTGCTACATTTGGTATAATTTGAGTTTATGCTTGTTCTTGGTTGGTATGCAAGTTTGAAAATTAAAGACAAGCTTGGGCTCTACGAATTGTTTTTTTTATGGGAAAGACCTTTCATTCAAACTAAAGAAAGAGAAGAACCAGATACAACAGAAACCACAACAGGATAACCCCCAATCCATGTTTTTGTTCCAAAATTATGCCTCAACCCCAGAACATTATGAGCATCAACATTAAAATTCCTACTTAAAAACATAATAGTTCCAACCTTAAACTTCCTAAGGTATAAACTACAATCGGCCACAATGGGCTCAAGAACAACATTAACCACAACAGAGTTGATAATATCTACCACCGTTTGTGCACCTGACTGAATGAGAACTTTGTCTAGCTTGAGCTCAATAGAAATGTTTAGGCACCACCTAATAGCATGCAATTCAGCAAGATCAGGATTCACCATGATCCTATCTTTCTTGCTTACAGCAAATTGGATTTCCTGCTCATTGCTTTTAAAAGCACAACCAAAGGACACTGATCCATCAAAGAAAACCCCTGCATCAACTGGAATAACAATAAGCTCATGGGGGAGGGATCCAGAGGATGTTGAATAAACTATTTTTTCTTCGACCCAATCTCTGAATTCCTGGCCATAAATTCAGAAACGTTAAAGAGAGCATTAGCAGCCACCCTGATAGGGGAAGATTTCTTCTTTTGGTATAACATCAAATTACGAGCATGCCAAATTTTTTGCATTATAATACACAACAATTGGGATTCATCAAATCCCTACAGACCAAAATCTCCATGAGCCAATCACAAATGTCCATGTTGATGGAAATGCGATAGCCAAGGGTAGAAGAGAAAAAGGATTTCCTTGCAAAAGGACATTCCAAGAATAGATGGTGGGAGTTTTCTAGTCTAGAAGAGAAAAAATAGCAGGAAGTATTAAGAGGAATACCTTTCCTATGAAGATTTTTTTTCGTGGGCTCCGGTATTGTTGGTAAAGGAGAAGGATGGTAGTATGCGGTTATGCATTGATTATCGACAATTGAACAAGGTGACAATTAAGAACAAGTTTCCGCTTCTAAGGATCGATGATTTGATGGACCAATTGGTTGGTGCGCGTGTTTTTAGCAAGATTGATTTGAGATCGGGATATCACCAGATTCGTGTGAAAGAAGAGGATATTCAAAATACAGCCTTTAGGATACGGTATGGCCATTACGAATATTCCGTGATGTCATTCGGGGTTTCTAATGCGTCGGGTGTGTTTATGGAATACATGAATCGTATTTTTCATGAACAGTTAGATCGTTTTGTGGTTGTATTCATCGAAGATATTTTAATTTACTCTAAGTCTCAAGAGGAGCATGAAGAGCATTTGAGGATTGTGTTACAAATTTTGAAAGAGAAACAATTGTATGCTAAGTTGTCGAAATGTGAATTTTGGTTGTCGGAAGTAAGTTTTCTTGGACATGTTATTTCCGATAGTGGTATTAGTGTTGATCCATCCAAGATTGATGCGGTGATGCAATGGGAGGCTCCTAGATCGGTTACGGAGATTCGAAGCTTTTTGGGCTTGGCGGGTTATTATCAGAGGTTTATTGAGGGATTTTCAAAGTTGGCACTTCCGTTGACGCAATTGACTTGTAAAGGAAAGGCTTTTATTTGGGATATTAATTGTGAAAATATTTTCATTGAGCTAAAAAGAAGGTTGAAGACGGCGTCGATCTTGATTTTGCCGAATCCGAAAAAACCATTTGTTTTTTATTGTGATGCTTCTTTGACAAGTTTAGGTGGTGTTTTGATGCAAGATGGAAAAGTTGTGGCTTATGCTTCAAGACAATTGAGAGTGCATGAAAAGAATTATCCTACACATGACTTGGAGTTAGCGGCCTGGTGTTTGTTTTGAAAATTTGGAGGCACTATCTTTATGGTGCAAGATTTGATGTTTTTAGTGATCACAAGAGCTTGAAATATTTATTTGATCAAAAAGAATTGAACATGAGACAAAGAAGGTGGTTAGAGCTTTTGAAGGATTATGAGTTTGGTTTGAATTACCATCCGGGTAAGGCAAACATGGTGGCCGATGCTTTAAGTCGGAAGTTGTTACATATGCCCGCATTGATGATGAGAGAATGAGAACTTTTGGAGAATTTTAGAGACTTGATTTTAGTTTGTGAAATGACGCTGAGAAGTGTGAGACTTGGTATGCTACATGTTACGAATGATTTTCTTGCAACCGTATGTGAAAAGCAAAATTTGGATTTGAAGTTCGTTGATTTAATGATGAATGAGAATGAGGATTTCAAGGTTGATAACTTCGGAGTTTTGAGATTCTGTGGTCGTATTTGTATTCCCGATGATGCGGAGTTGAAAAAGATGATATTGGAAGAAGGACACCGAAGTAACTTAAGTATTAATCCGGGAGCGAATAAAATGTATCAAGATTTGAAGAAAATCTTTTGGTGGTCCGGATTAAAGAGGGATGTAGCTCAATTTGTGTATGCATGCTTAACTTGTCAAAAGTCTAAGGTGGAACATCAAAATCCTAGTGGATTGATGCAACTGTTGGACATTCCGGAGTGGAAATGGGATAGTATATCGATGGATTTTGTTACGGGGTTGCCGAATACGCAAAGAGGTCATAATGCTATTTGGGTAATCGTGGATAGGCTTACTAAATCTGCTCACTTCATTCCAATTGATATTAGTTATCCTTTGGAGAAGTTAGCCGAGATTTATGTTCTTGTGGTTGTGAAGTTACATGGAGTTCCTAAGATTATTGTATCGGATAGAGATCCTAGATTTACATCGAGGTTTTGGAGAGTTTACAAAAGGCTTTGGGTTCTAAGTTAAGATTGAGCTAAGCTTATCATCCGCAAACGG